CGCGCGACGGGTCACTGCTTCTGACTACACCATAGGTAGATCGTGCCAGCCAATCCGAGACCGCGCAGTTCAGACAGATGCAGAATGACTCAGGCAATACTGGAATGCCCTTGGTGGAAGCCTAGATAACCAATAATCTTCTTTTGTACATATTATTTAATCGCCCTCATTTCTTCTAATAAACAAACTACCATTCCTGTGGCCTTTTTATCGCGTCTCATTTACGTGGGACATTGTGCGTAAGTGCCAGTACTGTCTAGTGCTCACGTGATCCAGTCTGTGATTGTTAATCCTTGATTCGTATTCCGTGATTCGCATTACGTGGTCCGTCTTCCGAGTTGTGTGCGTATTACTACTACTACTACAATCACTACAGAAAACCATAGGAAAATTACACCGGAAATTCTTTGAGTGAACTCTTCAAAACAAAAGGAGGTTATTGGCTTTTGTAACTACACAAGCATTTGATGTGGTTCGGTGTAGTGCCGTATAAAGGGAACAGTCGGGATCGGGAGAGACAGTAAGGAAGAACAAGGATCATATAAAGCTTTTCGTTGACCTACCTCCAGTGCTTCCACAAACAGCGATTGTGCTTTCGACGGTGTTTTGTCCCGCAAACGATGCACAAGTCCCGTTATCTTTTCCGGTTACGGTAAAACTATACGCCGAGTTATTTGCTTGCTGCGAGCTTCCACCTAAGGTCAACTGTCGAATCAAACCTATCGGGCCACGTCGAGTGCTTCTCACCACGAAAAGGAACTTGTCACACATACGTTTGTAGGGAAGCAGGTTGTCAGTCATAAAATTCATTTCAAAATAGAGATGACAAGCATAACAAATAACAGGGGGCACGTTTTATGCTCATTTTCGTTAGTTTATTCCGAGAAACAAACCACAGTCCATTTGAATGTGGAAACGCTTTTGGGATAAGAAGAGAAAGAACAATATCTGAAATAAATAGGCACTAAAGTGAAAATTTGCTAGACTTGACTGAAGTTTTCTGTGACAGTACTAGCTCAAACCCCGTCCACGCACATAAAAACATAAACGAGTGAAAACCATGTCATTTCTAACCGTCCCGTTCGTACTTGACGCGTATCACCTCATCCAAATCTCTTTGACCATATTCCGCATGTGAATTCAACGTGTCATAACAGACAAGTTTCACAAAGGCACCCAAAGAACCGAGACCAGGATCGGTTAGAATTTGTAAAATTAACATACAGACAAATTTGATCAGCATGATCGTACCTTATGCGAGAAAGAACCAACGATATTCAAATGTCTGTGCTACCATCGCCAGAAGCAACGGGGGGGGGGCAAATATACCTTTTCGGACTGCGTTTCACCATTTTAACTGAATCTCAAGCACTGCAATACCTATTCAGTCCACACAAGTCGATTTCGAAATCGGCAGCAGTGATGATTCTGCGATGGAACATTGCACTGGCTGCCTACGACTAAGACATAGTACACCGTCCAGGAAAAAACATTCCTCAGGCTGATTTCCTCTCCCGATGGTCCAGAGTCTTGGAAACCAAGAGGTGCCATTTCAATGAACCAGCAGCCCCAGTATCGCGGGAGAAGTTGCGCATTACATAGACATCGGGAAGAAATCAGTGTACAACCTGATGGAATATTATGCCGCAACTATCGACTGATCATCCCACCTCCATTACGCAAGGTAGTGCTAGAAAATCTGCACAAGGGCCACTTAGAGGTGGAGAAGATTAAGTAGTTGGCACGACAGATGTGCTGGTGGCCCGGTCTAGATGAAGACATTGGTCGAACCGTTAAGAACTACGAATCGTGCCTCCACAAGTAGAAGCCCAGAAAAAGGAATTGAATACCACGACCAGAAAGCTGTGTGCCTTGGCAATGCGTGCACGCCAACTTATGTGGTCCGTTCCTCGGCCATTATTATGCACTGGTACTCATCGACTCATAGTCAAAATGGCCTGAGGTGTTTCTAACCAGTATATCGACTACATCGTTTGTAGTGCGGGCTCTACGAAAGTATTTCAGTCGAGAAGGAGTTCCGCAAGTGTTGGTGTCCGATAACAGATCCCAGTTCTGTGCTGCCGAGATGAAAACGTAACTAGGCAGCATCGGTTGCCGACATCTGCGCACTGCACCACGTCATCCCTGCTCAAACGGTTTAGCGGGAAATTTGGTGAAAACGGTGAAGAGCGCCATTGAATCTGCAAGTCCGAAGACGATTTCAGAGATGAAGGTTCTCTTGGCCAACTTCCTGTTTGCAATACCAAAATGAGGCACGTACCACCGCCAAAGACAGTCCAGCGAAACTGTTCAAGGCAAGATGCTTATGATCCTCATTAAAATGTGTTGATTCAAGTGACGTCTTGTACTTCTGCGAAACTATCGGAAACTAGTAAGAGGAATGATAACTCGAAAGATTGGCCAAGCTATGGTAGAGATTACAGACCTGACAGATGTAATCGTTGATCGACTGTGATTAATCAAACTTTCCAAATGACGCCAACCAAGTGCTGACACGTTTCAGTTTCTGGGCAACAAACCACAGACCGATCGTGCCGACCAATCAGAAGTCGTGCGGTTCAGACAGAAGCTGTATGACATCAAGAATACAAGCACGTGAATGATGGATACCTGGATAACCAATAAAATTCCTTTATGCATATTGTTTTATCCCATTGATTTCTAAAAATAAACAAACCGTCCTGATTCCATGAATCATTTTGTGTATAGGCTATCAGAGGACTTACTGATCAGACTTAGTGGATTGATTACTTAATCATAATGTATTGATCAATTCATTCTGGCGTACAAAATGCTCATGTATTACCTTTCTAGTTCCGAAAAGAATAAATAAATCACCACCCACCCACCCCCCACTTCGATCGTGTTTAGTTGACTTCCGAACGCAGAACCACGTGAATGGTCTCTCATTGCGTGGGACAATTTACTGTCAGACTTAGAAACTATTTAATTCAGGAAACGAAATCGATTGAGTGGTACATCGTTCAACATACAACATTTATTGTAATCTGAATTTAAATGATTTTTTTGCATTTATTTTTTGACCCGTGAGAATTTCCATACAAAAATTTAGATTTTGTGTGTATGTTGGAAGGTTTTGATGATCAATAATGTATTTCGCAGGATCCGAACTTCGGCTCCCGAGAACCGAAGGTTCGCAATCGGATTCTCGGTCCGAACCGCTGATCAGACCCCTGAGTGGTTTTTCTGTCTGCTTTTCAGCTGACATTGACCATAATTATTCAATCCAAGGCTGATACGTTATAAGGAACTCAAACCTAGTTATGCTTAGGAGCGTTTTCACGTAAATGCCATTGATTTTTTGTCGCATTTTCTAACTAAGAATTTGTTTGTTGTAGGAGGTTGATATAAGCTTTACTCAACTTGTGGAATATCCTCTATACGCCATTTTTTGCTCCCTTACCTTTGTATACTTCATCTGACCAAATTCATGTGGATTGGCTACTTCGGGCTACGTCATCGGTGGGGTGAGGCCATCGGAGCTGAGACAGCCTGGAGAAGAATTAAGCATTGCAGCTCTCGAAGTTTGTTTTAAACTGAGCTAACTAGCGCTTGTTTGCATTCCAATAATGGATTTATAATGCCCAGAGATTGAATTTGACGTACGAACACTTTGACGTCTCTAACTGTTTAATCACCCATTCTTATGATCACTACAGTAGCACACATCACATAGTTGATGTTGACTTAAAGTAGTTCGTGGTATGCTTTTGAAAAATACAGGCGAAAAAGGCGTGGTCTGTTTTGTCTCAAATGTTGTACCACTGTGACCAATCAGCACTCGAAAAGCAATCTCGAACTAATTCGACCAATCACGTGCGACTCACTGACGTTAGCTGATCAGGACAACCAAATCGTTTGTTATTCATTTGTACGTGGTGCGTCGTTTATCTGTGCTGAAAACGTGTGACGAAATTGCTTCCAATTTAGCAAACGATTCGCTTCGGTGAAGTTTGCAAATGGCCGGCAGAGTTTTCCCCTGGATAATCCTAGTTGTGGCTGCACTTTGTGTGGTATTTTTAGGAGGGAAACGACGCGCTTTCGGTATTTTTGTTGCCCAACTTCATGCTGAATTTTCTAACATTACTTTGGCCGAATTGAATTGGATTGGTGACTCGTATGCTGCTTTGGGATATTTGACCACATCGGTTTGTACATCGGCCATTATGGCCACAGGGAGACGATTTTGGGCGTCCCAATCTTTGGGTGCTATATTTGTGTTACTCGCATGCGTCACCAGTGCTTACGTGTCCAATCCCCATTGGTTGTTCCTTACGCATACGGTCTTGCACGGGATTGGTTCATCCTTGGTGTTGAGCACTGCCGGTCTCGTTGTGAATGAACACTTTGACAAAAATCATCGTTACCACATTTTGGCTACCACGCTTGTGTCCGGGGGATCGGTAGCTTCCATTTTGTTTGTGGAATTCTACGCGTATCTGATTGAGCGATGGGGCTGGCGAATGTCTTTCATAATTCTCGGTATTCTATACTTTTTTGTTCTGTTGCTCGGATCGTTGGTGTTTGTGAAAGATTCGACCAAACCAGACAATCGAAACGATCGATGCGCATCGATCGGACGGGATCAGCTGTCGTGGAAACGTGGTGCACTTTTGGTTCTTTGGTTCTTCGATCGAATATTTACCAGTGTGGTCACTTACGGAATGCTATTGAATCTGGCCGACTACATGTTTCGTCGTGAGACCTCATTGCGACGGAGTGCAGTACTAACCACATTATTTGCTGCTGGCGAAGCTTCCACTTATGTAATTGGTGCCGCAGCCACAGGGATTACGAAAGATCTATTGAAAAATCGACTGAAATATGTGCTACTGGTCACAAGCTTCACTATGTTTGTTGGTCTAACCCTTTGGGAATTCTTGGCCGACTATCGAGGTGTGAGTTATTTTTTGGCCTATCTGAACGGATTCTGTCTCGGTCCGTCGATCACGTTTCTGTTTCCCGCGGGTGAGGAAATGACCATGCTCCCGGGTCATATGGCCTATCCGTTCTCTTTGGGTGGAATGGGCACCGGAATGGCCTTGTCCCCATTGCTGTCCGCGATGGTAGCACAGACGTTTGAATACCGTTGGTTCTTTCTCGCTCAAGGCACAATGATGCTGATCAAATTTGTCTGTCTGTTCTGTTCCATGTTAATTTTGCAAAGTTTAACCGGTCCCGGCCATGGTTATCAGCGTGTCATGATGGAAGATGCAGACCCAAACACGTTGGGTTCCCACGCGGAATGTGGTCACAGGGATTTGGATAAGGCGACCCTGGTGCAATGCGAACTGGACGGTACGAAAAGCGAAACGAATTTAGCTTCCGTGGACCAGACAGAAAACTTTACCAATTTAGAAGAGATTGAAAAACGTCATGTGAGAGCTCAGTTCACACAATGCGTAAGTCTGTCCGATCGATGATTGTTTTCGGTTTAGATACATTAACACCGAGAGACTTTTTGACCACGGTTTTTAGTATTACTTCTCAGAGCGTTTTGGGTCCCTATATAAGTTCGTGACCGAAAATGGATGTAATGTGTTTCAATGCGGTTATATTGGTTTTGTTTTGTATTCATTAACTAATTACAAATTAATACTTGTACCCTTGGAGTTAGTCAAATCATTTCGTTTGCGGAATAGATATTCCATAAACACACCTTATCCTCACGTTTCCACAATTCGCATCTCTCCTCGTTCGTTTGAGAAATATCACCACAAGCTTACGGCATTTTTGTGCGTTTTGATGGCACCTGTGACCTGCAATCGTGTTTTTTTTAATCGATGATGCTTGCCAGATATCTACAATGTGCACGGGAATCTCTCCCTTTCGGATGACATTGATGAGGATTTCATAGATAACGACGATAGTATTGACGATAAGCATTTTAATAATGGTGACGCAAACAAACGCATCTATGCTTATGCCGTGAGGTACTACTCGCATTTGTTAGTAGTATGTTTGGCTCGGTCAATAAAAGATGGTTGGTGGATTATCACAGCATTGATAGTGTGGGTTTCTTCAAGCATCAGATCTTAATCGTTAGAGATGGTACTTTTGACTGAACCACATGCATCTATCGCCAATGCAGAATCTGAACTATGACTGCCTAGATGTGCAGATACATAGAACATGAGACATCATGCATTCACTTGTTATTTATCATTCCTGGCAGTAGGAAACTATGTCTGCAACTCTTTCATAACGTATACAGTTGATCAAACTGATATTGCCAAATTCGATTCAGTAAATGAAAAATGTCAATTATCACAATAAAAACAAAGTCAGGTAGGCGAAAACAGCTGTTATTTTTTCTATAAATTCGTCAACTGGTCATTGCTATTGTATACAGCTTTTGAGGTTCTTTAATGTGGTTTTGATCGCATCAAACTAAGTACAGAAAGTATGCTAGGATTGTGTACCTAATCCTCATCTCCACTAGATCCTTTGTGCGTCCCCCTTGGGTGTGTTGTTGGGTTTCTTCATCCGAGGCCATGGCAAAGATAAAGCCGAAACGAAATGCTTAGTTGGGCGGATCCACTGTTTAAGTAGCTATCACCTCGAATCAGTTAACTGTTGCGCAACCGTCAGCAGCAAATCCTACATGAATTGCTACACAAAAAGTAAGGCACATGTGGTGCTCAAACAAAGTGGCTAAAATATCTCTCTGAATGCAAATTAAAGTGAATGTTTGAGAAAACACGAAATAGCGAACAAGCTGGTTTTCGATAACATCATCTGGCTAATACAGTTATATAAATAGATAATAGTCATATCACATTTGCAAAAATGTTTGACGTGTGTGTGTGCGGATTGGATTGGTAGATACAATTACTCGATTGTGTGTGGTTTACAAAAGAACATTGCGGTGATGGATGGATGGCAACAGGGATGTGTCACATGAGGATTAGGACAGAGTCGAGGTTAACCATCACTTGTTTGGGGCACAGGGTCAATCGAAAGGGTCACGGGGTCATGGAACTGGTCAGTTGTACTCAAACGATTGAATTCACTCCCTGGCCATGGTAGTTGAAGCTGTTCGTGGAAATTGTTGATTTGTAAACCCTCGACTAACTTGTTTAGCTAGCCGGTTTAATTTTAAGCAAATTTGAAAACTTTGCTCAAGAATTTCGTCGATTTGATTTCTACAATGTCGTGGTTCCTGTGATTATCTATCGCTATACTATTCTTTTCTTTGAATATACAACTATCCTTCACTTGACGCTGACTTTCAGGAATTATAACACCCCGATTATCAGCAAGGCTAAACTCGCATGAATGAAGGCTAAAAGACGTGAAGTGAAAGAGGAAAAATCACATGCCACGATTTTAAAGAATTACTTGACAAAGTTAACTAACCCAGGAAAATACTGCACCAGACGTTCCACAAACACTCCAGTTGGTTTCTAGCACAAAACACTTTTTTCCGACAAGTTTGAACTCAAAATCCGCAATTCTTTCGCCACGATCCCTACTAACCCAGCCCAGCCCAGCCACAAAGATGAGCCATATCGCTGTAAGAGAATACAATAAAAACAGTATCCTTATAATCCCAGGTCAACGAGTGTGAAAACTCGTATTTAATAACCCACAGTTACATGTGATTAGTGGTGAGAGATAATTGATATTGATTGATTTGATCTGACTACCCTTCGGACTTCACCTTTACGCACAATCCTCAGTTCGTCGATTCAACCATACATCCGGAAACACTATACCTTTTCAACTTGAAGTGAATCGCAACCAATCGCACTCCATTGAAACCCCACCGACAAATGGATTGGTGTTTCGGCCGTCAAATGTCATCGATTGGACGGGGTCTATCTAAACTCCGTCCAGGCCGAATGAACTAACTTTTTCGTA